GGGGGGGGGGGGGGGGCTAAATCATTTAGATCAAAGTACTTGCATAATGTTTCCATTCTACTAGTGTAAGTACGTCTGTTCTTCGTAAAACCCCGCTGTTACCTAACAAAATGGGGGTGTTTATAGATAGATTAGAGTACACTTACTAGAGTCGATACACCGAGGACAACATTCATTTTCTTCTTGTACTTTCACTACACAAGAAAATTTTGGACATCGTTCTCGCTGACACTTCTGCTTTCCGTCCTGCGTATATATATAAAAAAATGGCGGTTGATACATATTTTATATGATTCGTTTCATATAAAAAATTACGATAAGTCTATTATAGTACTTCTGACTGAGATATTAATGGATGTAATCTCTTATATATATATATATATATATTAAGTTAGATGTTCGGACTTGAATTCGGTAGTAATATAAAATTACACCAGATGTCAGCACTTACCTTACAGGTGCATGTTACACATTTCATCTCTCCAAAAGGTTGGACTGTTGGATGCCAAAAGTCACCATTTGGATGGATAACGTCACCAAATAGGCATCCTATTTGAGTTAGAAACAAAGTAAAATTATTAATGTAGGCCTATTTCAGTACTGCCTAAAAGACGAGAGCAATAGTTGTTTTTTTTAAAGTTTTATAACTAACTATCTTTACAGAATTATAACGATGATATTATCACTATGAAATCTGTTTCGAACTGGAATGAATTTTAACACTAATTTTTTTTATCAATTCCCTACATATAATAATTATTATTATTGTTGTCGTTGTAATGCCACCTACCGCCAGCTGCTAGGATATCTTTGTTTCTTTCTTCTTGGTTTACAATGGATATAGCCTCGTCGCCAGGGTGATGGTTGTGTTGATGAGCTTCATGCGATTTTATACGCACTTGGGCTGAAAATTTTAAGATGACTTTTATTTAATTACGTATTACCAGCGCGTAGATAATTCTTAAAAATGTTACAGTAAATTAGTATTTTCACAATTACAATGGATGAAAAAAAAAAAAAACAACCAACGGAACTACAGCGGAACATTTTATAATGTTCGAAAGTTTTACATTGGAACAGGCTTTTTTTTGTTTGTTTTAGAATATGTAACGGACACTTACTACGGCATTTTTTACAGCAATCATGAGGATGCTCTCGGAAAACGTCGTTGTGACCACAGGTCAGTAATGGGCAGTTGATTTTCCGACATTCCACCTGAAGAGTAGCTTGCTGTTGACAAAAACAATTGAAATTAGCGCGCTTATTTATCTATAAACATATACTAACATATTTTAGTAATTGATAAAATATAGATGGCGTATTCAACAATCTAACTCATTCTCCATGTTTTGTTATTAAAAGCACATTTCATAATCAGTATGAAAAATTCAAGAAAACTTCTGTAACAGCGGTTGTAGGAACGTGAAACGAGACTTACATCACAAGTGCAAACGGCACAGCGGCTAAATCCGAAGGGTGGTAGATAAGGGTGCCATCTGGTGCCTGCCAAGTGAAATTTTTTGTCGCCTTCAAAGAAACAACCACGTGGCTTCTTCTCGATTGAAGTATTATTATTATTTACATCTGGAAGAAGAACAACAACAAAAGGATTATATTTATATAATCATGAAATATTGTTTAAATACAGGAAAACAAGAAAGAGTAAAATATTGTTAAAAGTTGTCTTACCTGTACAGACTGGGCAACATTCTTCCTTTAAAATCAAGGGGCTGTCACAGGTCAGCTTTGGACAAACAATGGTGTCACATTGTACACGTCCCATCTGGAAAACACGTTTTCGATATTATTATTGTCATAAGTCTTCCTAAATACACGATATTATCAACTAGATTAATCTGTTGGGTGTTCTTAAGTGCAACAAGACTTATGTTTGATGCTAAAAACGATTAGAATGAACTTAGAACAGTATACTTCTTATGTAATCGTCTTCCTGTTGGAGGCTCAGTTTGGGTGACGTCAACTGTTCGTCGATTATCACACATAACGTTCAAGCTTCCGGGTTGTGCACGTGATATTGGCTGATTGTTGGGTCTGTTGTTAAGCACAGAGCTATGCAATAGGCTGTGCTCTGCTCACCACAGGTATCGAAGCCTGATTTTTCTCGTCGTAAGCCTGCAAACTTACTGCTGAGCCACTAGAGGGCGGTAGGATCGACATAGTATATCTTACAACACCCAGTGTAAGAAGCTGACCAAAATACACAACGGACCTCATGAGCATTTAGTAGGTAGGATTGATAGTAACATTGGTGTTATTCATTTTTGTCGAATAAAATGTGTGACACGTATGTAATTGTGTAATTCATGAACCCATAAGTAATTTGGTGTATAAGTAGTTTAATAAAATGCGTTTTGAAACCAGGTGGAGCACATGGACCTAGTTGGTACTTTTTAAAGGTTAAAGACCAACTTGGGAACGTAAACATTGAACCTCTAACAGGATAACTGAGAAATAAAGTCTGGTATTTTTAATTTTTTGCTAACATACATTATATATTTTGTGTTTGAAAAGTATTTTAAAAAATCCCTTGATTAAAACAAGGAGAACTATATACATTTATGTACTTATATAAAAAGGAAATTTTTTTGTTTTAGATTTTATTATTTTATGATAAAAATTCTACCTCCTCCAGCGCAAAGAAAAACTGTTAATAAAAATATGAGCTGTGCGAAAACTTTTGCCCCCCCCAGTAGCACAGCGGTATGTCTGCGGACTTGCACTCTCATCAAGCTAAAAAGTCCGGGTTTCGATACCCGTAGTGGGCAGAGCACAGATAGCCCTTTGTGTAGCTTTTTGCTTAATAACAAACAACAAACACAACATCGTTACGAATTCTTAGTTTAACTAATCCATGGTGTAAGTGACCATAGACTAGAAGCACAATTATCAGTCTTTAACTGGTTAAAAAAACAACAAAAACACCTACCTGACAGGAACACATAGTGCAGGTTTCGTGCTGGGCTTTCCATTGAACACCATCTTCTATGACCTCCCCCTCGTAGTAACACTTGTGGGTGGGTTCAGGATAGATCTTGTTGAAACTGTCTTTGAGCATGCGCACGTTCTTACCGCTTCGGAGCTGGTCAGTGTGGGGAAGGCAGGAGTCGGGCAGGTGAAGCTATATTAAATAATGAATTATTTTATCAAAATTCAAGTTATTCAGAGCAACATCAAAACATAGATAAAGGTTTAAGGTGTTTCCCATCCGTAGGGAGTATCAACTACTGATCATAAACATGACGACGATCATCAGAGTAATTATACGTTGAATGAAGCTTATCTTAGTCAAAATAATAAACACATGATTTTATATTTAATAGACAGGATGTTAGAGCATCCTTTCCGAGTTAAAACACTGGAACTACCAATACTGCCTTTTTAAAAACATTTGTCGAAACTATTTATTAGTTAAATTGTTTGTGGATCCTAATAAACAAACAAGACACACACACACAAAAATATTAATATCGATATATTAAACTTAATTTTACTAATCACTGTTCGGGTTTCCAATGTATTTAACATAGAGAATGGATAGTTTCACTATTTTTTTTTCTGGTAATTTCTTTACACCGAATAAGAGATAAAAAGACAACAACAGAATTTCTCGATATATGCAAGATGTGGTCTCTATTGTTAGTGAACGTTATTATAAAACAAACGTGATAATTTGACGGTCCATTACAATAAATACGCCATGTATTTGTTATATTAAGCCTAATAATGACCTCGTCCCAAAAGTTAACCTTCTTGTTTTTTTTCAGTATACGTACGTTCGTTATTGTAGCTTCTAGGTCGACTTTCTTTCCAATACCGTTGGTTTTCGTTGTTATCAGAAAAGCACTCTGTTCAAATTCCAGATGAAATAGTGTCCTCATGCCCAGACCTTCCACAATGTCCCCGACCTACACCATCAAAGAAGACACGTGAGAACGCCATCTATAGCCTGAAAACTCACTAACTAGAAATCTTCCAAAATAAAAGATTTTGTTTTGTATTTGCAGGTTTTGTATAATACCTTCAATCAAAAACTTGCATACAAATGATTGTGAAACGTTTTATCAGACGTTTTTATCAATTATATAAAAACACATGCGATGTAGAATACGCCACACATAACTAACAACTTTTCGTAATGGACAGTTGCAACAAATAATCAACCTTACTTTACAAGAGTTATTGAACACAATCAGAGTCAATAAAGGCCCTTGAGATGCAGTAAAAAAATTAATCGAAAAGTTCCCCAAATCGCCATTATCCAAGTCCTATCAGTAAATATGGTGTTTTTACAATACAGCTTATACGTATTTGACAAAGCTGTTAATGTTATCTGCCAACATCCCTAATTTTAAACTACTGACCAGAGGGAATACAGCCAGTCAGTAACACCCTACCAATAACCATTCAGGCGGAGGGATTACACTCGCAGCTCGAAATGCTGGGTATATTTTTGTGGTAGCGAACGGATTCGAGACCGGCTCGCCATCTCCAGAATCCAGAGATATACCACAAGGTCAACCAACCTGCTCCCTCCAAATTATACATAGATCTCTCACTCTTAATTTTGGCTAAATTATTTAGCTTACTACGCTCCCACTCTCCTTCACTACGCCCCCCATTGGCACAGTGGTATGTCTGCGGACTTACAACGCCAGAAACCGGGTTTCGATACCCGTGGTGGGCAGAGCACAGATAGCCCATTGTGTAGCTTTGAGCTTAACTTCAAACAAACTTTTTCTCTAAATATATATATATAGGCTTAGAGTTCCAGATGTCACACCTACCTCTTCGCCACCAAACTTTCTCAACACATGCAGATCAGGCTTTCTATGCCGATTCAAATGTACTTCTTGCACTTCCACTAGATGGCGTTGACGGCGGCCATCTTGAAGGTCGTCATCGGAAGTATGAAGTCCAGAAACAAACACTTCGTAATGGAGTTGACAATGTTTGTCTACAGATAACCATACTTGACCGGCTGCGGTATTATTACCGAGTAAAAGCAATGGGACCTCTGTCGGGGGGGAGAGAAAAAATCTATGATTAATGAGGGAAATATAATAATAATTCTTTGCACGAAAATCTATAAATATTTGATGCACAAAAATTCTAAAAATATACCAGATTTTAAAAGAATGAGGGGAAAGTTGTATTTACATAATGTAATGAAAGGAAATTAAAAAAAATATGGTAATCCAGCTGTTAACAAACAACAACAAAATACGTGTCATCTTGAAATGGCCTGTCTTAGCGTATCTTACAAACGTGTCATCTTGAAATGGCCTGTCTTAGCGTATCTTACAAACGTGTCATCTTGAAATGGCCTGTCTAAACGTAACTTACAAACGTGTCATATTGAAATGGCCTGTCTTAGCGTATCTTACAAACGTGTCATCTTGAAATGGCCTGTCTTAGTGTATCTTACAAACGTGTCATCTTGAAATGGCGTGTGTTAACGTAACTTACAAACGTGTCATCTTGAAATGGCCTGTCATAACGTAACTTACAAACGTGTCATCTTGAAATGGCCTGTCTTAGTGTAACTTCCAAACGTGTCATCTTGAAATGGCCTGTCTTAACGTAACTTACAAACGTGTCATCTTGAAATGGCCTGTCTTAGTGTAACTTACAAACGTGTCATCTTGAAATGGCCTGTCTTAACGTAACTTACAAACGTGTCATCTTGAAATGGCCTGTCTTAGTGTAACTTACAAACGTGTCATCTTGAAATGGCCTGTCTTAGTGTAACTTACAAACGTGTCCTCTTAAGGTTAAATGATTTAAACAAAAAAAATAAAAAGTTATGTGTGCAAAGCCGTCCCTAATTTTGAATTGACAGAGCAGAGGGAAGGCAGCTAGTCAATAACACCTACTGCCAATTCGAGCTTATTTTGCGGGCACCCAGGCTGTGAATCCTTGGACTCACAGGTCCGGGCACGCTAACCACTAGGTCACGCCTGGTCGTAATAACTTCTGTACTATTAACTTTGTACTCTGACAAACTAATTATAGTGTATTTTCAGGGTAACTTACCATTAGGCGAAAGCTTCCGTGTACAGTCTTTGGCGAACGTGGCCTCGGATATTGTCTTCACCTTTCATCGTTTGCACGTGCAGATAGAGATCGCCAATCAACAACGTCTCCAGGCCTCGTGCCGTCGCTTTGTGAAACGTGCCATTTATCTGCGAATGCGAATGAAGAAAATATCTTATATCTTGTACTATTTCCTGCACGTAACAACACACAACATACAAATAACACGTGTTTTTTTTTCTGGTTTTTTTAAATTAACAGTGTAACTTTATGTGTCGAAGGAACTTACCCACTGGTCAGTAGCAAACACCTGCGTCGTTTCGATCAGCGCGGTCATTCCTTGGTTGGTAGGGTTACGTGTTTCAAGGCTAATTTTGTTCACCTGACCAGTCAATCTCTCGGTCCGAATCTAAAAACAGAAAATCAATTATGTTCATATTTAGTTTAATATAAGCAGTGTTTCTAATTGCTTTGCATACATTTCTGTAAGCTGTTATAACGAGAAAGGAACTTTGTGTTACGTGGAATTTTCTTTAAAAAATGTTTACCTTGAACGAAATTGATCCATTTGCTTGTATGGCCAAAACTCCAAATCCTGTCGGCAGATGGCGCTTTTCCTTTTGCGTGTCAGCTGACTGTCCAGTGGTCAGGATTGTTTGGAATACTAAGTTTGAAATAAGCACATAATAATCAGTTGTAGCCCTGTGCTCGAGTTGTAAATACTGAACAAATAGAACCTTGTAAATCTAAAGACATAAATTATACTGATATTCTTGTATTATATATATATATAAGCATAGCGTGAACTTAATTAACTCGTTGATCAGCCACTAAATCGGATCAAAATTGAGATTTAACAATACTTATGTTTGATGTATGCTAACTAAAAACTAGCTTTAGTAATGAAACAGCAAGAATCAGTTCGACTGTAAACTAGCTGTAGACACGTCAGTGAGGGGAAGTCTCCCTCTTAATACATTCCCTCTTTGCTCATGCTTCTGTGAAGTTAAGCTACCGGTT